CATGAAAGAATTGAAGATTTAAATGTCATTAGTGTATAGAATTTAGTAATTAAAAGGAGCCATGGTGGTGCAGTGGTTAGAATACAGTATTGCAGGCTGATTCTGGTACCCACAACCAGGAGTTTGATCCTGACAGGCTCAAGGTTGACTCAGTCTTCCATCCTTCAAAAGTAAAATGAGGGCCCAGATTTTGGGGGGGGCAATATGCTGACTATGTAAACCACTTAGAAAGTGCTATAAAGCACTATGAAGCGGTATATAAGTCTTAAGTGCTATTGTTGCTAAAACTAAATCTATTTTTAGAGTGAAGGAAATTGGAGAGAAGAGCTTTAAGGCATATAGACACATAAATTTGGCATGAAAATAATATTGCAATAGGTTAACCTGATACTTTGTGAGCCAAGAATAGCTAACAAAAGTAGCTGCTGAAGAACCAAATTCTAAATATGAATAATTCACAGTGTGCAATGCTTTGTCTACCCCTTCCTCCCCTTTTCTCTGTTAATTTTCCATTTAAAAATGAAAACTATCACAAGTATTTCTGAATTTTGGTTCACATATAAAGTTTCGATCATGCAAAGTATCTTTAGTCATCAATGATGTATCATAGCCTTTAAGTTTAAACTGTTTGTTATTTTTTACATTTCTACCTATTGTTAACTGACTTATTTTTTTACAATTTATTTTGTTTTCTAGTTGGCTGTGAAAAACATACAAATTGTAGTTCCTGCATTTCTATTGAATCAACTCAGCTGAATTGCACATGGCTTCAATGCAATGGTAAATTGAATTATGTTGAACTATAATACTTCTGATTTACTACATTTGTTTTTCTGAATTTATAATTTATAACAGTTTTTTTTTTGGCAGGGGGCTCAGCAACATTATAGAAAGTACAAAGAAGGGGAAAGAAATAGTAAAGAAAAATTAAGGCCAGGATTTGTGGGGTTTTTTTTTAAAGGGAAAATCAAATGAATTTATTGTGGCTAAAGACCAGCACATAATACAACTCAATACTGTAATATAAAACAGTTTACATCTATATAAAAAATAAAACTAACTAGTCAAATAAATCAGCAGCTGCAAAATCAGAATTTAGCTGCTTTTACAGTAACATTCATGAATATCTGAAAGTAGAAGTTGTGTGATAGATCAGAGTGAACAGGAAATGTATTTAAATGTGTGATTATCAAATCTGAATGTAAAATGGGCAATGTGATATGTGTCTCAATAGCCCCTTTGCAGTGTGGGCTAAACTTTAGCCCAACTGGGATATTTGTATATCTCCCAGGGCTAGTAGGAAGGATGTATATCAAGCCAAATAAAATGTTCTCCTATATTTAGGGATTGTAATTTGTTTGAAGTATATAACACATCTAAGGATAAATGAGCTGGTGAAGACTATGTCATTGGGGAAAATGCTACATCTAATGAGAGATCAATATTTTTAATCTGCTGCCTCAACATCACTTGCATGTTTGTAGACAAATATGCAAAGTTGGGATAATGAAAAACTAAGAAGCTCCAATTTTTATACAGAAAATAGGATGACACAAAGTTGTCAGTAAGGATTAACTACAACTCTCCATATCTCCCTATCCTTATTATCAGCATTCATAATAGGATAGATTTATCTTTTGAGCCTTTCATAACACCATTCATATGGTTCTGCAGTCCGCTCATTCATTTTCTCTATATGGTCAAAATACCTTACTATATTTATTTTAAATTATGTCCTGTTGTGTTCTGATTATTCTGCTAGTATACTGTTGCCTTAATCTACCATCTAGGACAGGGGGTGTCAAACTGCCGGCCCGTGGGCCGGATGCGTCATCCAGAATCGCGCCCACCCCATTGCCGGCAATGGCAAAACCGTCCCGATATGTTGCGTGATATCGCGAGTTTGACATGTCTGATCTAGGACATTTGTGCACATACTGACGCAAATATATGGTTGCTAAAATGGCACAGTATTCATAAATTGCAACCTAATGAAAGCATAAAAAGAGATTGCATTGAAAAGAAAATAGCAAGGAAGTATTGGAATAATGAAAAGTTGGAACAATTTGCAGTAAAAACTACTAATGAGGAAACATTGGAATTGTTTCAGATTATAACCTGGCAATGTTTAAGAATCCTTCCCCTCTCCCCTTATTTCTAAACACATAGAACTTAATAAAATTAAAGGTGAAAAATGCTAAGAGATGAGTGGGGGGTTTTCTTTTACACACTGAACCAATTTTTTTTACTGTAAATTTCTACATGTTTTATAAGATTTCCTACATGTATTTTTATGTTTATAATGCTGTTATATTGAAACAATATATTGTTAATTTATAAACGAGATTAAATCCTTTTGGAAGGAGCTTTTTAATAATTCAGTAAAGCGTGAGAATGAATATTGTCAGTTCCCTAGCACTCTTCCTTTTTTTTTTTTCAATATAAAATTTTATTGTTTTTATCATAAAAAAAAAGAAATACATCACAGATATTACACAATGTTATATCCCATCCCCCCACCCCCCGGACTTCCCAAACCAAACCTAGGCTAATATTCAAATACAAGTAAACAAATATTAATATCTCTAACTCCAAACTCTAAACTTAAACAATCCATCTCCTC